TGCCGTCTTTCTCCAACTTAATGCGGACTACACAACTCCTCTGTGTGCCCCAGTGGGGAAGTAACAGGGAGATGGCACATTAATATTGAAACTTCTGTGATGTGTCCATGTTCACAGTAAAAGTTCTCCATGTCTACGATTTGCCCCCGTTCATTCCAGTTCAGGAAAGCCCTTGTGTATGTGCTTAAACTCTGCTGAAGTCAAGAGGATTTCAGTACAAGCTTAAAGTTAACAACCTATTGAGAGCTTTCCTGAATAGGGATCTGTGCTTATTGCACTTGGTTCAATCAACCCATAAGATTTTGGTTTCTGAGTTTTTCAGCACAAGAATAGAAAGGGTATGTTTTGTGCATTAAGATCAGTTCTTTCCAGTATTTCTAGTGTATGAAAATGTTTGGAGAGTGGTACAGAACAATTCATTCTGAAGAGACATCATTGTATATTGTACATATGCACACACACATGTCTACACTCAGAAAAATTTTGCTCAATATTGAAGAAATATTCACCTTTGTTTGGATCAATGCTGTGGTTGACTATTTCTGTAGCACAGTGTCCAGAATAACTGAATTATCCATGAAAGGTATACTGTCCATGTGAATGGCACACAGTCATTATGACAAGTGAGCGCTATTCCGCACCCAGTGAAGTCCTTGTTGAGTGTACTGAACTAAATGCTCCATACTGCTGTGCAAGGTGATAGGTCCCATCAATGCATCCAAGTCGTTAAAAAAATCTACAGGGAAAAAAAGATTCAGCATCAGAAGAGTGAAGCTGTATTTGCTACTTGTCACCCTTTAATAGATTTTATTCTCTTGCAAATTGAGTCAAGCTGAACATTTCATGGGAATGAAAGTTTAGTGCTGGTGAGATTAATTTTAAAGCCCTGTGGTTCATGATGTTACAGGCTGATGCACGGCAATTTTCTTTTTAAAGAACAAAACAGTGGCTTTGCTTTTCATTAATTTCCATTGAGTCTTGATAAAGCAAACAGATGCCGGGCAAGATTTATTTTGAGATTAAGGACAACTAAATCAAAAAGTCTACACACTAGTGTCTATCTGTACATATGCTAGGTATCTAAGCTACTGTGACAGACAAATAGAGGCCTGTACAACATGGTCATCACAGCCTAAGGAGTGATTTGGCTAACTAGCCACTAAGAACTAAATTCAGTTGCCTACTTAGAGGCATGTAGTGCCCATCTGAGATGCCCTCAGGCAGTTGATACATACAGCCCGGACTGGCAGATCTAACACAGGACGTACAGGAGACTTCTGGAGTAGCAGTGTAGGTAAGGATACCTCAAATGGCACCTGGAAGCTATGGTTAGGAAACTGAATTGTATCCCTGTGTCCCCTTCAGGGTGAACAGAACAGCTCTCTGAACTCTGCTGTTTGTATTGAACAAAGATCCATCAACTGTAATGGGAGATTAGCCCCCCAACTCATATATACACACCTATGCTTAGGTGTCCTCATTTTGATTTGAATCCTGCCCATGCTCCTGCCTTAAAGACATAAATTAGCCTGAAACCCAAGGAATACTTTTTCATCAAGTCAGATGCTGAGGCACCTGCTCATGGAAACCAGTTCAGCTGAGAGAAGTTTGCTCTGAAGAGGGAGCGAGGCACCACGTTCCCATCTGTGTTTGCTCGGACGTGGGGGGGAGGGCTAGGGGCTGTTCGTTCCTTCTCCAGAAAGGAAGCGTGCCTCTGCTTTTTGACGTGGTCTGGCTAAGCACATCCCATCCAGCTCCATGACTTTGGGGGCAGGAAGCTGCCTTGCCTCCCACAAACCTTTCTCTCCGGAATGACACAGATGGCAGTGACTGCTACCCACAGCTATGTCTGTGACCTGTCTGTCACCAGCCCTGACCAGCCAAATAAAGAAAAAAAAATAGATGCTTCTGAGTGAGACAGCTATCAAAATTACCTTTTTGGGCCATTTTGGAACAGATTAGGAGCAGACAGAAGAAAAAATCACCTCTGCAGTCCTACTTTGCAGACAGGATTCCTATCAAAATAGTTATTTTCCTACTCAAAATCATGTGACAGTCTTCTAGAATAGCCCGGTGCCTTGACTCACCTCTGTTCTCCTTAGCCAGGTTGTCAGCCATCTCCCAGTAGTCATAGCTGTGCAGGATGCTGTTGGTGATGCTGACGTGGTTGGCGGCCATCTGATGAATGCGCTGCGGGATGCTGATGATAGGAGACGGGGAAGGGGCCCCTGTGCTCCCCTGGGATCCTACAGAGCTGACTGGAGAAGGGCTAGGGGACATGGGTGATGGAGTTCCTGTGCTCCTGGAAACAGATGGTAATACAGTTACTTAAAAGGGTGTTGGGATTAAAACCGTGAGATTATCAAAACATACTGCAGGTAAGAAAATATAACTTCAGACTGCCAATTTGATGGAAGTTTCTGTGCGACCTGTGAACTTACTTTCCACTGGCACCCCAAGGAGATGGGTTCTGGGCAGCTTTTGATGAATTCTGTAAAGGAAAAAATAGTTCACAATGCATATAGTTTATATAAGCCTATGAAATGAAGAACATTAAACAGTAAAGAAGTAAAGAAATGTAAAGAAGAAATTGTGCAGATAGATAGAAGTATTCAAGTCTCATGATGCAATAAGCCCACTCAGCCTAGTTTGGTGTTGTGATGAAGCAGTGCTGCAGCGCAGACTCAAATCACAGTCTCTTAAACACCCTGGGATGGGGGCTGATTAGGGAAACATGTTAGTTGAAACCGAAACTTTTCACAGAAATCCTGGGAGTTCAGAAGAAAGTGCTGCCAAGACTCTTTGTGAGGTTTAACATGGAATTTCTTGTGACAGAGAAAACCAGAAGGATGTCCTTCCACTCTCCTGCCCCCAAAGACAAATGTCATTCTCCTAGGACCTGCGAGACTGTGCAAGTCTGCTCAGCCTGGCTGACCACAGGGATGTGAATCTGATGCTCCCTCAGCTCGGGTGGGTGTTTTAACCACCAGGCTCAAGAATCTCTCTCATGATTTTTCCTCTTGGGTCTCTTCCCCTTGGTCTGAATATGGCAGCATTCACAGGGCCAGAGAGACTGGTGGTTCTTCTAGCTGAAGGGTTACCCAGACCCCCTCAGAAGGGGACGTTAGGTCATATAGTGTGATCTCTTGTATACCTGCAGTCATCTCACTGGTATACTGTGTTTAGGCTGAAGAATTTCATTGTTTGAGGAGATGCTACTTTGTACAAGCACTATGTTTACAGAGCAGGAGAAATTCAGGTGTCCACAATAATGGAAACTGAATAGCTAAAATGATTCTAGGAGTTAATCTACAAGAGCTGGTGGGAATTTACTGGCAGGTTCCTGCCCATTTGACCTGTGGAAAAACTCCTCCCCTCTCCCAAATGCTGTGACTGATTTAAACCTGGGCCTGTGAGAAAGAAAGATGTAAAAACCAGAAGTCTCAGAAACAAAACTTTTCTGGTCCGTCCCACCTGCAGCCTCATGTTCAGCAATGGCCAGTTTCTAATTCTTCAGAGGAAAGTGACCTCCTCGCACCCCCCCGAAACCATGCATCCAGATAATTGTGTGCTGGGGAACAACGCTCCCTTCTTGACAACCACAGGAGACCAAGTGAAGTCCTGAAGCTCGAGATCTGTTTATGGATATTGTTTAAATGCAGGGCTACTGGTGTTGCAAGCTGCAGGAGTTACAGGCATTAACAGCAGGACAAACACTCTTGGTCTCCCATGGCTTAGGAAGGAAAAACGATAAACAAGGGGCTTCAGAGCTTCATGGATTTCAAGGCCAGGAGTAATCCCCCGGGACACTCAGTCTGCAATTTCCCTTTTCCACCAATCATAGAACTTTTACCAGAGGCTAAATTACTTTTAAAATTTATTTTATTTTATTTTATTTTTTTTTAAATGATAGCTAGTCATATAGAAATCCTAAGACATTATTTATCCTCCTTATTCTCTTGTGTCCTGTATCTAATATTTAGCAGGCCTCACAGTTAGGAAAACAGATTCTGTTTCAGGGTTTCAAGACTGAATTTTCTTAACTTCAGTCCTAGCTTTTGGATTTTGTTGGTCCCGTGCCAGCAAAACTGCGTGTCACCTGGTGTTACCAGCTCTGTTTCCATATACACACTGATCACATCCTCTCTTAACCTATTCTGCAATAAACGGGACACATCTCCTGAGCCTCTCTTCAAAAAGTTTGTTTTCTCCATTTTCACGTGTCCTCTGAACTGCTGCTTGTGTTCTCACGTCTTTCAGGTGCACACCAACATTGGCTGTATTTTAGCAGCGATCACATCAGTGCTGTGTGTGCCCTGCCATTCTTCCTGCATTTTGACACTGGGCCTTCTACATCCCAGGTAAGTGGTATGAAAAATAAGCTTTGGAGTGTCCCACAGGGGGTTCTTCCTCAAATGGGTTTTCTTCTTTTTTGGCAGGAAGGGCTAAGGTGTGAAAGGAAAAAAATGAAAAGTTCTCATTTACCGTCCTAAATAGAACCAACCTGAGAATCCTCGGCATTTGCTCCTCTTACAGAATAGTTTCTTTTTTTTTTCTTTTCTGTTCTGATCTGTTATTAATTGCTTCTAACTACTGGCCTTCATCTTTCTAGTGTAATGGAAACTGAGTATGTGTTATTTACTTACAGAGTTAGAGGCAGGAAAATATGAAAATCAAAGTGGAGTCAAGGATATTTCTGCTGTAAATGTAACCAGCCTCTGCCTTACTGTACAACTTCCCACACCTTTTTCCTCGTGTTTTAGGTATATTACTCCAGCCTCCTCTCAGTTCTGCAGCAGAAAGGTGGGGGTAAGCATTCTAAAGAGTGTAATGTTGTAAGGGAGCATCTCTTATCCCACTTTGCTTACTGCTACCCATTCTCCTGGTTTCTTTATGCTCTCAAATGTGTCTGGCCCCTGAATATCTTCTTTTTAATTCTCTGCTGCATTAATTTTTTTTATAATGGAAATAAAATACCTAAAAGGAGATTTAAATAATCATTTTTTCTTTTCTAAAAGGAAAGTGTGTCTAATTTTCCCTGCAAATGTGTGTGACAAGGTTTAAAATCTTTCTTTGATTGATAATATATGTGGAGGTTCTTAATGCAGTCAGCATTTCACGTCACTTGGTTTTGAAAGCTTTTAGATACCAAATATGAAATGAGTGGAGAATTGGCTTGTTTTCCACTGAAAATTATAGCAAATGGATTTTTTTTTCCATTTTTACTTTCAAAGGTGAGAATACTTTCTAATGTGAAACTACGCTATCATTATATCAGCAGGAGCTCTGCAAAAAAACAAGCTCGTCTTGGCTATAGCAGAGTATAAGTCCATTTTATGTTTGCTGTGAAACAGTTTCTGTCTGCTAGTAGGAGACATTTTACATGGTTGAGAGCCTGACCATCCTGTTCTTAATGCAGGTATTCTCTGAACTGGTAAAGAAAAATAAAGTGCTGTAATAGGCACATATTTCTTTCCCCTGAAATCAAGTCATTGTTAGAGAAACATAACATTTTGAATTATATATTGCTAAATTTTTAGAAGCAATTACAGTGACTTCAATTTCAGTTTGACAATAACGGATCTGTCAATTTCCTTCACTGTCTTCATGTGTTCAGAATCTGGTCATGAGCATTCGTGCTTGTATTTGAATTTTTTTATTAACAAAATGTCAAAGGATGGATGTTTTTCATTTCAAGGTACCTCCCTCTGCAAAAAAATCCCAACAGATCAGCCCTGTGTTCAAAGACAAATAGCTCTTCAGGTGCCCCAAAAGACTTTGTCTTAAAGCTTGTACTTTGTAAAGCTTGTAGATATGTACTTGCGTGTACGTATTATTTTTTTAATTAGAAAGATAAAGGCTAGTTTTGTGTTTGGAGGTGAAATGCTGGATGGACTGACTGCTAGGCGAGCTCCACCTGAAAGTTCTTGTTCCTGAGATACTTTCCAGAGAAAGGTTGCCTGTCAAATAAAAGACATCAACATCCTTTGAATGACTTTCTGTCTTACTCAGAGTAATCAGGGTTTGGACCTGGCAGAGAATGGAAAACGGACGCAGTAGCAGGCAAAGCAAAGCAGGAGGGGGAAGCCAGCAGTGCTGTGTCAAGTACATGGCAGGCGGTTTGGTTGCCCTCCGATGCTTTCGTGCAACTCTCACTGAAGTCAGTGTGGGCTCTTTGCCAGTTCCTTGGGTAAGAACATGTCCCACTGCACTGTCGTACCTATCGATGCTGCTAAGTGGAAGCCCTGCAGCTGAGGCCTGATCTAGATCAAAGTCTTCAACTCACAGGTAGTCTAGTGGGAAGTATAATCCTGGAGGGGGTTCTTAGAGCAAAATCTGCAAAACCTTTTCGCAACAGAGCTGGATAGCGCTAGACAATTGACCAAGAATAATCTGAAAATACCTGTTTGTTAATACAATAAAATTCTCATTCTTCATGAAGGGACACGGTGTGTATTTTGCAAAGAGAGGTCCCTGCGAAGACAACAGAACTGACCAGAGATCAGGTGTTGCCATGGGAGTCTATAGTAAAACTCTACTGACTTCGCAGGGGAAGAACTAAGCCCAGCACAGCTACTGTTTTAGTAAGATGCTGTATTTCCTATAATGACACACTGATCTAAAAACATATCATAAAGAATGCACCTTGAAATACTCCACAAGCGCTTTCGAATACTTGACCGCGTGGTCTCTCTTGAGTCGAAACATCCTCCAGTACAGAAGGGCCAGGCAGCGGTAACTAGAACAAAAGGGAGAACAGAAGGTAAAGCATGCCCCCTGAACAGAAATCCCAATTAATTATGTTAAATTCTCAAACTAACACAGAGTGGAAGGCTGACAGCACCTTGCTTACAGTTTTTATCACCATTTGTTTACAGTACTTCACACTTTGTCATGGATTCATGAGCAAGACTAGGTATTACAGCCAGGAGAGGTCACACTGACTAATGCTACCAGTACTAAACAGACTGTACTCAGAAGGGTTTGCAGGTTTGGGTTCCCAGGCCTTGACTCTGACTTGAACTCTGCACACTTGACCAAAGGCCTCTGCCGTGAAAAGGTCATTACAGGCCTGGAACCCAACGTATGCATTTTTAAAAATTTCTTTTTGTAAATGCCTGGAGCCTGTATAATGAACTAGAATTATAATGGGTGTATTTTCTGTACACCCAGTGGTCTCTTCCAGCAGCTGGAGGTAGCTGGGAAACAGGGAAACCTCAGGCCTGCCCAGATTTCACTGGCCAAGCTTCCCTGTGGGAAACCAGAATGGAGATTGTGTTGGAGCCTGGAGGCTATTCCTAGGCCACCTGCCTGATTTGATCCCCAGAGGAAACCAGCAGTGGGCTGAAAAACTCGAACTGCTGTACTGGAACTGTCTGACCCCGTGCTTCTCGTTAGTCTGCAGAGAGCCGCGCACCTTTAATGCTATGTAATTAAATGAGAGTAATAGCTATTAGCTATAATTATACATCACAATGACTGATAATCAGCATTCAGGACACACAGACTCTTTTCTTCGCTACCGGCTTTAGGTGCACTGGTCTAGTTTCCAAATCAAGAATCACCACCACCTCTTCCCAGCAAGACTTTTGATCAGCCAGCGTGGGATTGCCCCTCGGTAACACAGCTTTCGAAGCAAAAAGCTGGTGTGTTTTGCTTTTCCTTTGGCAGCAGAGGCAGGCCTTATTTTTAAGAGCAGTACTTAGTCCCGGAGCCAACCCGAAGCACCAGAAGGGGCCTTGAGTCTGGGCGTGCGGAGCGCTCCCATCTCCCCGCGCCCAGGAGCTGCCCAGACCTCAGCAACCCCCTCCAATTAGCACATTGCTCTTGAAAAAAACCCCAAATCCCAGCCAGCGTTTCCCAGCCCGTTTGCCTCCTTTCCTGCCGGCAGAAGGTGAATTTCTGCCTTTGGCCGCTGGAGGACAGCCTCTCCGCAGGAGAAGCGGAGGCTGGCCGGGGGGGCCGCGGGGGGCGGGGGGGCGCGGGGGGAGCCGTGCCTAAGGCACCCGGCTGATGTGTCAGCAGCTTGGCGGCACAGACAACTGATTCACCAGCCGGCTGCTGCCCCGCGGGGGAGGAGACAGAGGC